GATGAGGCATCCATCATCTCTCTGGGCAACCTGTTCCAATGCCTCACTATCCTTATTCTAAAAACTTTTTTCCTTACATCCAATCTAAATTTCCCTTCTTTTAGTTTGGAACCATTTCCTCACATATGTATTCAGGTGACCACGGCCAACTGACTCCCTATACTCCTATGTATGAAGGCCAATAAGCAATAAATGTCTCAGACAAGTTAACTAAACCTCATTATCTTCTCTATCTTCCTAACTGAGATAAATATTGTTAGTATCACAAAATACTAAAATAATATTAAAATAATTAATTATTTTTTTTCTGTATAACTTTGCAGCACTCTTGTGTTGCTCTACTTCTCTTGCAAAGATGTTTATTATGAAAAATCATTCAGCTACAGCACGGATGCAATTAGTTACAGAAAATGCCAAACTCAGTTATTAAAGTATCACCTTGGTTTTGAGTATCAGAAAACCTCTTATTTTAGACTTAGCTGACAATGATAAATAACAGACATAAATGTTCAAAAAGTTAAACCATGTCATATGAACCGCAATGATATCCAACCTTTTGTTTTGAAGCGTGGGTGGAGGAAAAAAATATTCTTATTTGCTTGTGCAAGAAACATGCTTCACCTGCCAAGCGCTGTGCAGTGCGAGATGACATGCTGCAGAAATGCAGTGTCAGAGGCACTCATCTGCCCTAGAAGGAAGTTGTAGAGAGAAACAGGAAAACAAAGGTGATGAGAAATTAGAATATTTTTACTGCTGTCACTTCTGCTGCGTGCAGAAATGGCATGTTCAGAAAACAGGAAGTTTCTGTGGGAAAGAGAAGCTCTTGTTACTTGCTGGCAGCTGCATAAAGTCTCCACCTTGACCAGTCATGTACCAAACTGTCTACTGTAAAACTGTGCAAAATGTTTGTAAAGTGCATGTCTGTCACCTAGTCAATGGCTATCAGGAGTTAATGATGGGTATTTAACCTGCAAAATGCCCTTTTCATGGCCTGATATCTCCCTTGAAACCATTTGCATCGCTGTGGAGAATGAGATTTAACTCAATTATCGGACTAATCACTGCACTGGGTCTGAATACTGGTCTTAGGCTCTTCCCTGTATGACACTAGAGGAGCTGAGATTTGCAGTATATCAAATTCATAAAGATTTTAACTACAGAACAGTCATTCCTTTCAGTTTTGATGATTTTTGTTGATGTCCAACCCTCCTTTTTTTAATGTTTCAAGTGTAATGAAGTCCTAAAGGAAAACATATGACTTTATACCTAGTCTATTCTAGTAAATTTAAGATCTCTGGGAACATTTTCTGCCGCTAACACTGATCAACATGATATAGCCCCTGACCATCCCAGTGAGCTTATTTTCCCTGGAAAATGGATTTGTACCAAAGGTAATTTATACAGATTAGAATAGAGTATTATTGGGAGGAAATCCAACTCTAGTCATGTGCTGGTCTTATAAAAGTAGGACCTCATATTGATTCATCACAGCCCTTTGAAAAACTTATCTATCCATTTATAGTCAAGAAATATTGCATTTTCTGCATATTTTTCTAGATGTATTATCACAACTTCATAGGTAAACTTGCTGAAATTGTGAAGAAGTGTTGCTAGCAAAAAGTGATTCACAATGAATGTAAATCTGAACAGTGCTAGATTAACTTCAGTCTTTATGCAGAGGGAGGAAAAAACTGTATTTCTGTGTGCAGGCAGACTCCAGGAAATTATCCACCTTCAGCTCTTAGCAAAAACACTGTCCCTGTTGAAGCCTCCGTGTGCTATTATCAGCTCCAACACAAATGGTGCTAACAATAAATTTTGGACTTACTTATGGAGAAAGTAACTACACAGCTGAATTCCCATTGGTTTAATTAGTACTGGGATTTGTTTTTTTGGGTCTCGTTTATGTAAAAATAACTAGTAGTGGCAGTACTAATGGAAAATTTCCAAGGATCAATTAAAAACAAAAAGTAAAATTTTTAGGAGGTTTTCAATTGAATTCATATATACTGTTTTTGTGGAGTTTTTTTTGGTAGATAGGTTTATGAGGAAAATTGAAAGGCAAGAAATATTCAAAAGATGAATGCTGATAATGATAGAGGATAAGAGAACAAATATGAATTAACAAAAGTTGCACATTCTTTGGCAAACTGCTTCTATGGAAATATTTTACAGAAAATATATACAGCAAATATTATACTGCTGGTCACTCTGAACGCACCCTCAGCCTCTGATCTGTTATGTACACATATGCCTAATTCATATTCATCACTAGTATTTTCAGTGAGGTTATGCAGAATTAATATTGCTGTAATTTGATTCTTTCTTTTCTCCCCTTGTTTAGTAAAACACGTGGTGATTTGCTTCTTTCAGTTGACTACACATCGCCTCTCACCCTATGTTGACTCATTGCTTTATCTCCCAATCTATTTTGAAAACAACTGCTATTAATGCAGTATCAGATGATTGAATCTCTTCTGTTATCATGTTGTGAATTTGTTGTCTTCTTGGGGTAGTGAAGAGATAATGAAGGAATTAGAAAGTCACTATCCAGTGGGCTGTCATCAGCAGATAACTGAGGAATAATAGAACAAAAGATAAGTCCTATCCTTTCATGTAAACCATCACAGAGGAGTTGGCCTTTTCTATCCAGTCCTATGTATTTTCTATCCTTTCCATTGGCATTCAGCCTGCTCTAGCAAAGCTACAGACAAAGTTTTGCTGCATGGTACAAGAGATGCACACCTTTTTGGACTGAATTCAGGTTGCCCTTGCCAGATGAACTGCCCTTTATTTCTGTAGATATTTGCTGCAGATGGGACTTCCCTATAGCTTTGATCAGACATGAATTCTCTTCTACAATTTGGATTTTTTAATTCAGTGGAGACACATGCCTCTTGTTAAAACTGGGCTACCACTGTGCTTTCTCCTAACCTCAACAGGTGCTGCTTGCTGTTGGAACAGCTTTGCAACCAACAAGCCTTGTATTTTGTAACCAAATGAAGTCGTAGTTCCAAGCCTCCTAGGGCCATTTGGAAGGCAACTGGGATTAACTGTAAGTGGCACAAGCCAAGGAACTCTATTGTTTTGCTTTAAGATGAAGCTTGGTGGAGTCTTTTGTTTGACTGAGTGCTTTCTAAAATTTGGTATTCACACATGGGCAAAGCTTGCCAGCCTCATCTTCCCCAAAAATATGGCAAGTGTTTGTGTTTTCAACTTTGCAGCACAAACTTAATGTCAGACATACCTATGGCAATTACCTAACTATTCAGAATTTTTTTTATCAGGAAATAGGAAAGAAAAACATTCAGAAGAGGAATGGAGTAAGGCAATGTGGGAGGAAATACTGGTATTTCATTCAGTTTATAGCTCAGCTCGTGACACGATTTGAGAATGACAATGACATGGAAATCCAAGTGACCTTGTTTAAGGTCATTATAGCATTCCTCTCCTGCTCTCCAAATCACAACATGCTTCATGTCAGGGTGGTATTTAGCAGTTTGGTCTACCTTTGAGTAGGCCTCTAGTGTTGTTTTGGCCTCTTTAGTTGATTGCTGAATCCATAATCTCATGACTACACTTCCAGTAATATCTCAGAAAGCACTTTTAATCCTTTATATTTCCACTTCTAATAGCGAATTTTTGCTCTTCTTGTCCTTTCTCTTGTTGTTGTTGCTGTTGTTTTTATTATGACAGTTTATCTTAATATTCTATATGTGTAACAGAAATTGTTATTTTTTCTGAACAAAAAGAATTTGATCCTGTGTTCCAGAAAATGTTTAAAAGAAAAATAAAGTTCTGCAGTGTCATATTTCAGTGTGGCAAACAAATATACGCTGTTTTCAAAATCCTTGTCTCCAAAGTGCAATATAATAGTTCTGTTTCTTTTGCTTAAACATTATTCATCTAAAGCAGTGTGTTTCACTGCAATGAGAGTATTTTGGAATTTGAACTTCTTTGTGATTCAAGGAAACAGTGTGAATTCATATTGTTTTTAGCTGCAGATGGATACTTCCATTTACTTTCCGTTGTATTATAGAATGTTTTGGGTTGGAAGGGACCTGTAAGATCATCTAGTTCCAATCCCCTGCTATAGGCAGGGACACCTCCCTCTAGACCAGGTGTTCACAGCTCCATCCAGCCTGGCTTTGAATGCTTCTGGGAAGGGAGCATCCACAACTTCACTGGGGAACATGTTCTAGTGTCTCACCACCCTCACTGTAAAGAATTTCCTCCTAATATGTAGTCTAAATTTACCCTCTTCCAGTTTAAAACCATTTCCCCTTGTCCTGTCGCTACCTGCCTTTATAAAAAGTCCCTTCCCAGCTTTCCTGTTGGCCTCTTCAAATACTGGAAGGCTGCTACATGGTCCCTCCGGAGCCTTCTCTTCTCCAGACTGAATAGTCCCAGCTCTCTCAGCCTGGCCTCACAGGAGAGGTGCTCTGGCCCTCTGATCATCTTCATGGCCCTCCTCTGAACCTGCTCCAAAAGCTCCATGTCCTTCTTGTATTGGGGGCTCCAGAACTGGACACAACACTCTAGCTGGGATCTTACGAGGGCAGACAGAGGGGCAGAATCACCTCCCTCGACCTGCTGGTCACACTTCTCTTGATGCAACCCAGGATATGGTTGGCCTTCTGGGCTGCAAGCACACATTGACAACTCATGTTGAGTCTTTCATCAACCAACATCTCCAAATCCTTCTCCTCAGGTCTGCTCTCAAGCCATTCTCCACCTAACCAGTATCTGTGCTTGGGATTGCTTGGGATCATGAAATTCTTTTCCTTAATTCTTCTACAGAAAATAAAAACATTCAGGAGTATTTCTGCAAATGTATTTAGGAAAAAAAAAAGTATGATGGTTTTTTGTTTGAGGGCTGCAGATTACATTCTGCTGCTTTACTGTATGTAGTGCAATTATTTCAGATTCATGATAGTGTAAGTAAGACTTACACTAAGTAAGTAAGACTTACGCTGTGAAATGGGATGGAGATTATTTCTGATTAAAAATAGTTTTGTCTGTCTGTTTGTCTGTTTATTTGTTTTTCTTTTAGCAGAGAAGGCCAAACAAAACCCATTCTGAAATCAGAAGGCAGAAAGACTTGAGGTAAGGCATTGATTTCTAGTGGCAACAACAGAGCACTAGAAACTGAACTATTAAAGAATATAGAAAATTTCCCAGATGTTCTGTCTGTAATTCAGAATAGAATGTGTCCCCTGTAGAAGTAATGTGATTTCTTACAACAACTAAAAAACTTACGTTTGAGATAGGAATTTTTGACAAAGCAACTTTTTGTGTGTTTGTGTGTTATTCTAGACTACACTATTTTACTATTTCCTCCTGATTTGAAAATCCATGTATGCCTCATCAATGAGATTGCACTTATTTTGAGAAAGATTCAACTATGTTAGAATATTACATATCTGTTATTTATGGAGGCAAAGCTAATCCTTTAAATCTACAGAGTGAGAAATATTATTATTCAAGAGTTTGTGTTTAAGCACACCTGGTTTGCAGAAGAAATGCATTGAAAACAGAGCTGTAAGCATTTCAGAGGAAAAAAAAATCAAGAATTATGTCATATCACAGAATTTTTTTAATACTGTTCAAAAAGTACCTGACTCTACATATAAACACCAACTATAACATGATGTAGACAATTGAGAAACAGGCAAATGTATTTTTTCAATGCTAAAATAAATTACATTTGTACAGGTAGAAAGCAAAACCAAAGCTGATAAAAATGTTATATTTTATGAAAAATCATTTTCAGTTCACATCAAAATAATAACTTTACATTCTCTATTTTTTAATAGTATAAGCAGCAACAACATAAAAAAGAACAAACGCTCACAGAATGTTTGAAACCAGTTGTTCATAAGTTATTAGCAAATTAAAAAATAATAATAATTACAAGCACTTGTAGCCCACACAAATCTTTTAGAATTGGCACCGTCTCTCTAAAACATCTATATTCTATATAGATTTCTAATTACAAATACCACCAGCAGCTGCCATATAATCCTATTAGTACATGTAATATACATAGTATATTTGTTCCCATTTGGCAGATCAGAGTGACTTAATGATTATTGTTTGTTTGTACTGTCATTACTGAGATAAGACAAAGCCAACCATACACACCAATTCATCACCTCGATGAATTTTTTACTTACCTTTATGCTTCACCAGGCTGTATCTTTTTTTCTCTTCACAGTATAAATTTGTAAGTGGCATTGCAGAGATTTGAACAGAGGTTGTAATAACAAACTATAGCAAAAAATGTGGATTTAGATAATTCAGCTGAAGTATTTAATAATTGAAGTGCACTCTGAAATGGGTAGCAGATGAGTGATTTTCTGGATCGTGGACAGTACTGACTTCTAGTTGATGAGATACATGAAACCTTATAAAAATTGTGATCTGTTTCTGTTTTGGGGGCATATTATCTCACATCCCTTAACAGATTTAGTCAAAAAGCAGTTTTCCCTCTAGGATACCTGCTACAGTAGTACTGATAAAGAACGGTGGGAAGGTACTATTCACCACAAGCCTAGCAAGCTGTTTCAGGAATTAGCCTAACAAAATACATCTGCTGAAGAAAATGGGAAGAAAAATCTGTCTTTATCATTCTATGCTGAAGCAAATAGCCAAGATCTAGACATGGTTGGCCACTGTTAAGCTTAGATTTTCTGATATAAATCTGGAGTGATTCCATTGATCTCAATAGATTAAGGGCAAGTGCCAGCAAATGACTTCTGCACTTAAAGTTATACAGTATGATACCTGATTTTTTGTGTAGTATCTGGCTCTGGCTCTTTGTTCAAGTCTAAGCTTATTGTGAAGTTGGTAAGAAGAGCTCAGTGCTCAGGAAAGCAATGCAACAAGGAAATGAATGTCTGAAATTAGTTTCAAGCCAGTAGGGAAATGCATTTCTGCATTTTGTTTCAAAAGTGGGTTGCTCTTGTAAAAGGTGGCTGGAGGAAAACCGAATGAGTTCCTTTTTTTTTTTTTTTTTTTTTTTTAGCAGTCTCAGGGAAGAAGCAGGAACACCAACCTTAATTCCTTCACTTGTTGAGGAAGATTCAGAATCTCCCTTTGCATGGAGGAGCTCAGAACTTTAGGTGGAAGACAAAATGGTTGCAGACACAGAGGTAAGGAAGGGCATATCCTCCCCTCCTATCACTAAAGCACTTTCCAGCGAAGTATTTAAGGATTTTTTGAGCCAATATATAGCTCAGAAGAAATGTTGGCTCCACTTCTTTGTAGCTGAAATAGTCACCCAATCCCTGCTTACAGGATATTAAAAGTATTTAATTTTAAATGGTCATCTCAACTATACCAAATATCCCACATGGGTGAAGAGTAACGCTTCCTTTTGCACCCTGGGATTCCTGAATGTTATTCTCTAACCAGAAGTTACCATAGTGAGATGAAGGTGCCCCAGTACACCATCATTACAGCATTTTCCTGCTAGCAGGGAGACTTCAAACACACCTGGCAATGGCATGGTCTGAAGTTTGGTCTTTCACCTTCTGCTCAGGTGCTCTAACCTTGAGGCTACTGTAAAAACAGCAGCATAACAGCACTGACAGCCTCAAAACAAAAGATTATTTCTTCTCTTCCCCTTGACACACATGCTGTAAGTTCTGTATACTTATGGCATATACAGGGATTCAAATTTAGGAACCACTGTTTTCTGGATTTCCAGTTGAGTTATACGCTAAGATATTTTGATGTGTCAAGATGAGGGCAACTCTGATCATCTGCAGAGACACAGTGTTGGTTGCCTGAGTGAACTGAGTTTTGAAGGGAGGTGTTAAATTCTGCAGAAATTCTGACTTTAGACACCAAAGTGCTGTTCTGGGTCAGCTCTGACTTTGAATCCAACATTTTCTGTATACTGTCTATCCCTTTCATGTTTTTCTTCTCTCAACTCAGAAATGACTTATTAAATAGAACAGCAAAGCTGCACACTTTCCTCTACAGAATCTACACCCACAATTATGCTGTTTTTCTGGCTTTGATCTGTCTAAATAATACATTTTCAAGTGAACTTCACTGCCATCCAGAATCTCAATCGTGAACTTTCCTTCCTATTTAGTCTTTCTGGAGATTCTCCCACTTTTTTTTTTTTATCACAATTTAATCACAATTTTTTCCTTTTCCAAATGCAGAAACTGAATAAAATCCAAAGAAGCTTTTTTTTTTTTTTTTTTTTTTTTTCTTTTAAAAGTTTTAACACTTATTTTTTAATTATCATTTAACTTTTAATTTAGTTTCGTAGCTGAGAATCAAAAGAAGAAAACAGCGCTTTGTGACCAACCAGACTGCCATGAAACATCAGCAAGTGCTTTGTAGACCATGATCTAAGAATCTCTGGTCTGAAGTATTTGTATTATTCTAGGCACCAAATGTTCAGACAGAAGTACAAGGAAGCACATCCAAATTAATGCAATTATTCTTCAGAGCTAATTGAAAAATATTGTTCTTTTACAGTATTGCTAACACTTCTTCACAATGAGCCTGCCAGAGTGATTCACTTTATTTCAAAAGCATAGCTTCCAAAGATGCTTACACCTTTATTCTTCAGGATTAGCCTCAAGCACAAAAGAAACAAGATCTCCTGAGGTCGTTGTGGTCAAGAATGACAATAGATGCAACTTCTTGATTTCCCTTTCTGGCAGAACTAAACCAGAATATAATTTCAAGACACTCGGTACTGGAAAGTGTTTGCGGTGGTAACCTTTGCTATTATGGCTGAAAAACTGCAGTTATATCTTAATGTCCCTAAAGGACAGTAGCATATAAACAGCTTAATGAAATTATAATATCCCATAACATTCTTCTTTCTCATATCAAACCCTTTGGTTTCTTTAACAGGACTTTCCAGTCTGGCACATCTCCCACGAGGCACGTTACAACTCGGGTCATTACAGAAGAGTTCTTTCTGTCACCCAAAAACCTTGTAAGGTAACATTGTCACTTTCCAGCCTGTACAATTAAAATGTGTTCTGCCTTCTTTATATCCTGGTAATGCCAATATAACTTTTGTTGAAGATAGGCTGATAACTGAGAGGTACTATTGCAGCAGGTCTCGTCCTGGGTTCTTTTTGCCATTAAAAGTTTTGTTCTGGCTGATGCACACAAAGGATGCATGACTCCTTCCAAAGTGAAAATAAGCAAGTGTTGTATAGTTTAACACTCTAGTTTTAGCCTCCAAACACAGATGTTAAATTAAGTGTTTTGTGTATGTGTGTGTTTGAAGTGCATGAATATATCATCTTGGCAATATAGACAAAAGTCTTCAAGAATCTCTGAGCAGTAGCTGTGGTCAGCATTGTGCAGAACTGCAATTTGGGAGTAGATGAGGTATGCTTATGCTGAGTCATGCTTTGACAGTTTCTATTTCTCATTCCTTTTTACTCATTTTAAGATATTTCTACTGTTCATTATTTCACAGTGCAATGAAGCTCACAGATTTTAGCAGGTATACGTTAATATGCACCAACCAACATAAGAGTACAGAAATGAGTACTTCTGTAATGCTCAGGAAAGTTCATGTTAGAGGAGGATCTAATAATGATGTTGGTCAATAGCTTAAAGTATAAGAGAATGTATAGTAATAGAATCCCTTTGAAATTCACATGTATCTCATCACACTCCACATATATCAAAACAATATTGCACCGATGGGAAACATATATTATTATATAAATCTTCCAAGAACAATATTTAAGTGGTCTAAACTCCTTAAGTAAAAATACCTGTGCCATAGGCTGATTGGACATGCCCTTTCCTGAAATGTGGGTTGTAACCTGTGAAAGAAGATACTTTCTCCTAAAGACATATGCATCTAGTAAAGGATGAGACATGCTAGTACTATGAACCAGGAAGGTAACAGCAAGCTCCTGTCTGGAAACCATACTGCTTCATAGAACCGAGTCTGTGCTAACCAGTTGTGAGAGTAGGCAAGAACTACATGTAAGGAAGAAGGACCTACAATCATAGCTTGGTGTATCTCCTGGAATAGAGCTGAGTTGTGACCTGCCTATTCATGCTACAGGCATAGCTAGTAAGTGACTGTACCTGGCAAAATAAACATGCCCATACACTGGATATTGGATAACACCAACTTGCACAGGATGTACAGGGTCCTTAGGGCATCTCTGTGAGGTGTGAGCCTGGATTTGCTCATCTATATTCTTTTTTTAATGTTGTTTAAAAGCAAATTGCAGTGCAGCGCATAATGGTGAAATTAACCTCAAAGGGAACAAAAAATGCTCTTTGCTAACGTATGTGAATCATACAATATGCTTTCTTTTTTAAAATCAAATGTTTGTTATTTGGGGCATGGAGGAGAGAAAGGGGGGGGTATGGATTTTTATTACAAAATATTAATTATTTTTGAAGAAATAAAATCTAAGCATTTTGAAAATTAAGCACAGAAGCCTGTTTTCAAGACTCTTTTCCATTAAGCTGTCTTCTTATAAGGCTGTATCAACTCAACTTTGATCTGAAGCACATCACTCATCACTTTATACTATCCTTAAATAAAATAAAACAAACCCATAAAAGTTTGGCACCCGAGGACAGCTGTCACAAAGGAGAGAGCCAATACAGTGTGCGTTTAGGGCCTGACTTACGTGTTCTACGTAACTACACCTATTAAAAAATATTTAACTTCTATTCAAACTGTAAATCCCTCCCTTGCCTTTATTCAAAAGTACCATGACAGTATGAAGTGCACTGAACTGTATTACCTTGATATAGGAAAAAATACCAGTAATCCCCTTGCTCTTCTGTGAGTTGCTAAGAAACAAAGACTGTTCGCTCATATCTCATTAGGCCTTCTCTGCTTTAACCTTTACTCTGTATTGCTTTGAAAGTCTTTTTTTTTTTTTTTTTCTTTGTCACAGTTCATAGCTGCAAGGCATCGGCAGCTAAATAAAGTTAAAATTGTTGCTTATTAAAGAGTAGCTAAACCACCTCTAAGCAGATTTTTACACAGTTTTTTTTTTCTCTACATATAAATTATGATTATGACAACCTTTCCATTGACAGTTAGCATTCATCATAATACAGATTGATCACTTAGAATACTGTCATTCGAAAACATGGAGAAAATCCTTACAGTGTTTACCTGTTCCTTGCAAGCAAAGACTAAGGGAGCCCGAATAAGTGTTATTATAACTGGCAATGATAGCATAAGAACATCCATAAAAACGTGTTAATTTCAGTAGGGAATGCAGCTATGATATAGCTTGGTAGTGCTGCTAGAAAGAATATTCACCTCAACAACTTGCCCTGATAAGGGAATTACAAAACAGTACTCCAGAAAATATTTTTTTGCTACTTCATTATTAGTTGGCATCATGGTGAAATAGTCAGGAAATCTTCCTTGGATTTTGTTTCTGTGAAGGTGAATCCAATGTTAACAAATTGATTTTTTTAATATATTGGTAGAAGATAATTTCATAAACAAATGTGTAGGTTGAGAAGTCGCTTGTAAAGCCCTCCGTATTGCAGTCACTCACTGCAAAGCCTCAGCTTAGTGTTATCCATGTGTAACGTATCACAGACACAATATGCTTCAGCAAAAAGTCTGATAGTTATTGAACATACATTGCTGCTTTTTGAGATCTTCATAGAAAAAAAAAAAAAAAGAAAGAAAACTTGATAGGTTGGTCCTAGATTTGAGTCTCTTAGAAAATGTACATTCAATGTTTGGTCTTCTATTCTTGATAAAAGATCAAGGTTCACTTCTGGGTAAGGAATCAGAGTAAACAAACAAACCATTGTACAGTTGTTTACAATCTTGTTTCCCCCCCATTCACATATTGTACACACAGTTCGTTGTAATACTAAAGCAAAGCACTTGGTATATAACTGATTTAACAGACTCCTTATAAGCCCTCAAAAATAGATTCAGTGTTTTTGAAAAGCCCATGTTTTTTTAAGGCCACGATAATCTGCCAATAGTCATTTTGTCTTTAGAACAGCATCATTAATCTGATGTTTCCACTGATCAAGCAACTCCACTTCTTGCTCTGTTTCTCACAAGCTGACCCAATGCCTCTATCTGCGTAAACACTGGAGATCTTGAAGTCTTGGCTGTCCCCCCACTACTTGCTTGTAGTCGTCGAGATCCAAAGTTGTCTTGAACTACATTCACAGCGAAGAAGAACTTTGAGTGTAATCTCTGATGAGGAGTGTGTCGTACTTTGGGGAAGATGGGATACAGAGAGCTGATTCGGAAACCGGAGAGCTGGGAGATGCACTTCCAGAATCGATGGAGTCTCTAAAAGGAGAAGGAGGAGTTAAAGCTACCAGCTCCTCAAGGTCTTGCTTTGCTGATGGGGTCTCTGCAGTGTCTTCTTTGATGCTGCCATTTGATTGTTTCCTAGCTGACTGGGAAGCGCCATTGACTTCAATGGAAGGAAGTGGCTGGATCTCTGCAAATGTGGTCATTGTTGTGGGGAGTTGGATTTCTCGTGGGATCAGGTATGAAGAGCAGAGAGGAGTGGCCACCATTGTCCCTGGAGTGGCTGTTGAAAGCATCATAGAGTTCAGCTCACTGATGTTGGCTGTAAAGCGAGTAACCACGCTACTGATCTGCTCCATGAGGGAGCCTTGCGAGGAGCTACTTCTCTGCGGAGGCTCGGACTGGAAGGTAGGGGCATCATCTTCTGTTCGGCTAACTGAGGCAGTTCTGTGGCTCACGGTGCTGATAGGCGAGGGAGTCTGCGGTCGGTACTGAGCAGGGTATTGCTCTTCTGCTTCTGAAACGTCGTAAAGCGTTTTGGCACTGGTCTCAGGGAATGTAGCACTGCTACTATGTCGGCTACTATCTGTGCTTTTAGAAAAAGGCTTGATCACTGCAGTTTGATTGGGGTTCTCTTTTTTGTTGATGTGGATTGACAACCGCTGCCAAAGGTGCGCTCCTCTGCTGCTTTTCTCATTCTGGGCCCAGGAAACTGATTTCCCATTAGAGCTGTAAATGGAAATGAGGTAAGATGGTAACTTGCATCAAAGTTAAAAATATAATCACTGAACCTATACCATGGATATGTGCTATCTTAGATCTTATATTCATTATATAGCTCAGTGTAATTTAGTCATCATATATCTATATCTAATCTATACTGATATATGTCTGGCCATGCAGTGAATCTACATCTAAGATTTATACCTAGACATTCTAGGAAAACAAGAAGAGTGGACGCGCTGATTGCACAGGCCACTTGTGCATCAAACTGTGATAGCTGATGGCCACTGCTGTCCTCTCTGTTGCTGCCCTTGGGGCATAGGTGGTGTAGGGGAGTGAGCAACTTGATGGTTTCCCTTCTGTTGGATTGGTGACATCAGGGGGACTGTGGGACTGAGGAATGAGTGGAAGAGTGAGAAAGAAATAAATGCTTGAAGAGAATAGGTGTGAGACCTGGACTTGGAGACAACAATAAGCATTTTGGTTCATGCTCTTCTAAATTAATCCTCTTAGTGTCATTTCTCTTCAGATCATCGTGCCTTGCTTTTTATCAGAGTTGGTTATTTTTCTACTCTTACTGATTAAGGAAAGTTCTCATGGAACAAAGCCAGTTGCAGCACCTATAAAAACACGGTATGCAATAGCTCCTTTCTTTTTACATGTTCTTTAGGCTGATGAGTTGTTGATTGTGCATACATTAACCTATAGTTTGTGGGATTAAGAAAGACCATTAACAATATTTCTTAGCTGAAATAGGCAATGACTCTGAAATGATGAAAGACATAAGAAAGAAAAACATAACCTCCACATACAGATAAACATGCTTTATATATACAACACAATAGAACTTTAAACACTTCACTTTGATTTCTAAAATATTTGCAACAGCCATTTTAGATTTTTTGGAAATACAAGCACATTGGAGATGTTGATGAAGTGTCACAAATCAGTTCTTTTACTTTTTCAGCCTGAAAGAGATACACTCATACATGTTAGCCTGCTGTGAAACAGTTTGCAAGACACACAGTTTACTCAACACAGATAACTTTTTATCAGCCTTCATGTAGATACTTGCCCCATTCTATCAGTTTAATAGTTCTTCCAGGCATCTAAAAAAGATGTGTGCTGATAGTAAACAAAATCTTTTTGTATTACATTGCATGGAATTACAGTGGATCATGTAACACAACACACTCTTTCCCCTTCAAAAGCAGCATGACAAAGTCCAGCAGATGAAGACAATGTAAACCGGAGATATTTTAAGACAGGCTACACTGGGAGATGAGCTACCCCCAAAATGCCAGACAGAACAGCTGATGGCTCGTATATTGAGACACCCTTTTTGCTGTACCTCAGTTAGAGCGAGGGGGAAAAGCAAAATCTATCCTGTAACACTGAGCACTTCAACTCTTTGCATCTCTGTGGATGTGATTCTGAGCTGAATGGGAGCTGGGTCTTATGTCTTCCAGAGGAAAGCTGATGCCTCTGAGGACTGTATGTTTCTCTTACTAGCATGTAATCTGTAAGTGCCAAGAGCCATTTGAGATCCCCAGCTCCTTGGCTATGCTTAGACCTGAGCTTCCTTTGGGAAATGAGGTCTTGCCTCTTTTTCTGGTATGATGGTGATGGAATTTCCCTTCAGATCCTGCAGAGAGTGAGCTGGACCAGGAGGCTTGGACATGTGGCCCTCTTACCTTGACCTAGCAGAAGAAGAGAGCCTAGTTCTGGTCCTGGGTGTTCTGCTTGGTGGGACCTCTTCTCCTGCTGAGCTCAGATCTCAGAGCTCAGAGGGGTTTGTGACAGACCTGTCTGCCATAGGGACAAAGTAAATTCTATTAACACGGAGAAGGTGGTGATAGAAACACTTGCTCAAAGAAAGTTGCGCTTGGCTGTGCACCACTTCCCAGAAGCAGAATATTCTAGCACACCTCCAAAGTTCAGAGAGTGGCTCGGTTCAAACCCTATGGCTCTAGGTGTGCTCATGAGCATTAACGGCATGTAGGCATTTTCAGTTACCTGGAAGTCAGATTGTAAGAGGTTGTGAAAGGAACACACTCCTCCCTCCCTTATCTGCAGAAATGTGGAGGAAGTGTGATATGAGTCTGAGGAGCCCGGGGAAGGGAAAAGGATGACATTTAGGGATGCATCCAGCTAACAGTTACATATTCAATAGAAAAGCTGTTACCAATCCCCTTAATCCCAGTTTGATTTTGGGACAGTCTTGACTGATGCACACATTTACTGGCTCTGTGCTGTGCCCAAATGTAATCAAGCTATATATGTGGCTCTAAAAGAGAGCTTAGGGCCCTAAAGGAGACCTAGAGGCTGTTTGATGTAAATTTTGGACAAAAGCCTGAAAGATTTGACCACTACTCATTGAAAATTCCTTGATATAAATAATAATAATAATAATAATAATAAAAGTAAACCTAAATAGAGAGCAAGCAGCAATTAATCAATAAAAATTGAAACATTGAACCTAGTGGTTAAAATTTCATCAGTTTGCCCCCAAATAATTGGAATTATAAATGTATAATCCCATTCATCATGCTAAACTATTTATTACACATCAGCTAAGGCATGTGATCATTTATCAGCTGTGTGAAAGGAGCATCATTTGTCTTCACATATTGGCTGGGTTAGAGGTAAATTTCAGGGGCAGTACTTTATATCCTGCTTTAGCTGCATGCTGTTACTCTCTCAACTGAAAACCACTGCAATGCACACAAATTAAAAACAGAGGTATAAAGGTACATTAGGGACATAGACTATGATGCCTACTAATGGAATATCACAACAAATTGTTTACATTTATTATGACCAGCTGTTCCATGTCCCTTTGAGAGATGGGAAATTATATATCAGTAAATATTTAGAGTTTTCTTGTAAACAGATTTTATCTCCCTCAGCTGAAAACAGCAGAATTACACTTTCATGCTCACAAAAGAATTCCACTGCTAAGTTTGGCTGAATATGGATGTATTTCTCTGCTCTGTCCTTCCTGTTGGCAAAGCTCTGGAGCAGAGCAGAAGACAGGTCAAATCTGGGGATAAGCAAACTCCAATTGGTGATATAATTTCCAAACCAAAACGTTGGCAATATATATATATTGTAATATCTTTTGTGTGGCATATTTTTTCATTGCCTTCAGGATGGGTTAATTAGGCTCTTTTATGTAAAAGAGGGATTTCCTCAGAACTAGACATAGTCATTATTTTTCCTGTCTCTTGACTAAAAGCTGCTTTGATTTTGGTAGCTAAGCTTTTTTTTCCAGCCTGCCAGACCTACCACAATATAGCACGTAGAAGAAAGGAAAGTGGTATAAATGAGAGCTTTCAAATATTCCAAATATTTCCTCTGTAGTTGTACGCTGCTGACAGAATAACAATTAGTACTCTTTCTCATTTCCTCCCTTCCTTTCATAGTCATTTAAGTTTTAGGGCTCTGTTGTGTATTCATAAGGGATATTAACTGCTTCTTATCCCCTGAGGTGGTAAGAAAAATGTTCCTCTCTTCTATATTTGTTTATTTTCTTTTCTTCTTATTTTCCTATCCATCTGGAATAGATTGTTTTTTTCCTTTGTTTTTAAATTTTGTTTCAGATTTATTGCCCTGTGATATGATTGTCTGTGAGGCTGTGCATAGGCTCTGCCACCAGGGTTTCTTTAGCCAGCTGCCATTACAGCAACTGCTGTTTCAACCCCTGCAGAATGCAGAAGAAAGGAATCACAGAATCATAGAATGGCCTGGGTTGAAAAGGACCACAATGACCATCTAGTTTCAACCCTCCTGCTATGTGCAGGGTCACCAACCACCAGACCAGGCTGCCCAGAGTCACATCCAGCCTGGCCTTGAATGCCTCCAGGGGTGGGAATCAGAAAGAGAAACTGACAGTTTTCAACCCTGATATTCTAATAAGTCTGCCATTCTTATTAATTACCTGAAACTGTTAAGATTAATTCTGATGAAGAGGTCCCAGTAACTCGCATTTGGATAACTACTGAAACAGTATGTAATTTGAAAATAAGTCACTTATTCTCTTTTAAATAAATTTAAATGAAATAGCCAAATCAGTTATGGAATTTAGTATTGTCAGAGTGAGCTTAGAAAGTATATCTGCAGATTTTCCATCAGTGAAAACTGGAATACAAAGGGGGTCAACAGAATTTAAAACCAAAACATAAGGGAAATGTTATTCTCTGTTGTATAAGAAATGTTAGTATCTGATTCCAAATTTGAATAGATACAACTAGTCAAAAGATACTGGTCAAAAACTTGGTGGAGACCTGTATGACCAGAATGGAACTATGCTGACATGACTATGATAAATAATTAGTTAAAATTTTATATATAAGTTCAAAGGTGAAAGTTCATGTTTCAGAACATTCATTAGTCTAATTTTTTTGAGCTAGATTTGCTAGCAAGGTTGTGCTTAGATATTTCAATGACTTAAGTAAAGTGTTGCATTCCAACTTGAAGCAATGTCTTGTTTTTTGTGAAGGTGAGGTAGAAGAGGTATAACTTCAACATGGTGCAGAGCAGGATGGTTTATTAAGGACAATATTATTCTATGCCTTTTCTGCAGAAGCAGCTGGCAGAGATAAGGAGGATAAACTACTGTACTTAATCTGTGCAGCTTTCTGGCAAGGAGAAGTCTTGTTATTGGAAATAAATACTTGTAGTAAGAAGCCATAGTCCTTTTTGAGTTATCTGAAGAAACCTTATTAAGGATTCAATGATACAATTACTCTGTCTAAGAAGGATTTAATAGAATCTTAGAATGATTTGAATTGGAAGGGACCTTAAAGCCCTTGCCATGCTGCCTTAAAGCCCACCAGCTCAAGCTGCCCAGGGCCCATCCAACCTGTCCTTGAGCCAGAATGGTTTGAGTTGGAAGGACCTTTAAAGGGCATCTAGTCCAACTCCCAAAGGAAGGAGGATAAATGGCTGAAACTGAGTGCAGAAATGCAAGGTAGATAAATTAGTTCTGTTCTAACACAATAGTGATTTATAGTGTTTCCTTTCTTCTTATTATAAATAGCTTTAGAGGAAATCTCTACATGCCTATACAATTGTTTCCCTGGGTGTAAGACAGTTCTGCCATGCAGAAATATCACTAGGATCATTTAGCTTAACTTATTCCCATACTATTTGTTCTCTGGAGATAAATAACAGTAAAACACAAAGGAGGAATGATACAGGGTAAAAACTCATTTTGTCCTGATCTTAGTTCCATAAGTAAATATCTTTTGCCATAACATTGCAAGCAAAAGCAATTGCTTTTCTATTAACAACAGCAAGGGCATTTACTAATATTACTCCCTGGGCTGTAATCAGTCATCACCTCCTTACCCTATGAAAATCACAGCTGGCATTTGCAAGAATTACTTTAATCTATGAGGATGAAAGGGACTGCTGACAGACAGAAACTTTGCCAACAACCTCCTAACACAGTCACTAGTTTCACCAACACTGAGAGCTTTCAGCAGTGCCTGGTTAGAATGGGGGAAATTGAAGTGCTGGTATCTGAAGGAAATACTTCTGGGATTCTGTGACAATTTCCTAAAGGTACAAAACTGAAATGGGAAAAAACAGTGATGTAGGATGCAGTAACTTCTCTTAATCAGAAATTGCCTTTCAAAGCATCACACTGGGTACCCATTTACTATGTTTTGTTACTTTTCATCTTGAAAAAATTCCTAGCTATTTGTAAGACATCTATATAGGGATCATTAGACCGCAACGTGAAAAATATCCACACTAAGGTTGGAACACCAAAATAATATTGCATTAGGGATTGAGCACCTGAGCTGAAAAATCCTGTCCGGTTGAAGCTGTACAGCCCTCTTTAGGCTAAAAGGATGTAATTGGGATTTGCTCAGCATCACGGGACGTTTTTATTGGCTTTACAGTGCAAGGGAGAAAAGATGACACAATCTTTTCATTTTCTATACCATGGAATGGGTTGGGTCGAAAAGGAATTCAAATAGGTGGTCAGATGGCTGGATCTTTCTTTTCCCATCAGCACTTCATCACAGTGACACCCAGCACTGGGCTGATACAGACACAGACAGAAAAATGGCACCTACTTCCCTTCCTGCAACATCTCAGCTCCCTGGGAGGTTCCCAGGCTGTGCAGTGACAAATCTGCTTAGCTCACAAAATAGGACAGGACCACTGGCCAGGACACTGTGGCTGGAGACAACAAAACACAGCCATCAAATGCAATTGCACTCTCTGTGAAGCAGCTGGTGTTCTTAACTGTTTGAGTAGGTCTTGCAGCTGACAGTCTTGCTGTGGCACTATTAGACTGACACAGTTTCCAGTCTTTTTGCCTGTTAGGGCATCCTCTTTAACAGGAACCTCTTTCTCATCTCTACTTGACTCAGATCGATTACATTCTGGAATGCAAACAGATTCTTCACTGTGAAGATACAAAATATAAAAAAGAAGTTTTTCAAGTGTATATATATGGCTGGGCAAAACAGAGCTGAATACTGTACAACGACATACAGCTGTTTGACATTTACATGTACTTCTCTGCTCTTCAAAATTCTCTTATATAGCAACTGCAGATAGCTTGAAAAGGAAGAATAATTATCACCAAAAGCAATGGAATGTAGGAAAAAGATAAAAAATTTGGACATCACACAGACAAGAAACAGAATCCTGGCTGACAAAGAAGTAACAGGTGTGTATACATTTGGTGCACCACTCAGCAACAAGCATTCCTGATGTTACCTAAGCAGCAGAGTCCCCCTGTGTGTGTGCTCAGCAGCATTATAGCTGAGAGCCTTGTGTAGATGAGTGGATTTCAGTACCCAAAGGGGACATAACACGGTGTGATTATTTCACTGAACACCCTCCTGCAGTGATAAAATCCACCTGTGATGCAACACGCGGGGAAAGTAAAGGTGTAATTTGGTCGTGTTGTGCTCTATGGCTGCATTTACAAACACCTTACAGGGGATGATAAAGATCTCTTAATAAACAGTAAAGCAAATGTTTCTAACTTTCAGTAGAGTGCAACACAGTCGTAAAATGCTTATTAAGAGTAATTATATCCTTACTTAGATTTTTAATCAACTGTGGTACGTAGGATTTTCTGTCCTATGGGAGAATCCAGCATTTGGAAATCTGATTGGATTCTAAATGAGATAACAACTGAAATATTCAAACATTTCACGGAATTGAAGTGAATCGTTTGAAATATTTCATTGCAAAAACCTAAAAAAGTGTCCTTATTAAGACAGTTAATCCCAGGAACACCTAAAAATATAGTTTGTAATATTAATTAAAATCATAGCATTGATACATAATGTTATGCATTATATAATGTCTGAAACAAAAAGAAATATCTAAATTAGATGGAATGGAGAAAGTTCTAAAAGATGTTCTGAGCTCTATTTAAAATGATTTTGAAACCTTTCCTTTAAACCACGTGAAACTTAACACTTTCCCACAAGACATTTTGACTGAGAAGAACCAACATTTTCATATCAGAATGCTTTCATTTATCTTTTTTCTTCTACTTTTATACAGTCTTTTGATTAGACACATAATGCAGCCTCCATTCTCAAGGAGCTGTGGAGCTTCTCACTCAGTGTTTAAGCGCTGTCTCTCCTTCCCTGCCCTACTGGGTTAATGTCAGGTGTGAAGTTTCTCCTCCCCAAAGCACCATATTATGACAACATCACACAGGACATGTGGTTTGCATCACTCAAATGAACACAGTGCAGGTTTTCCACAGAAATCAGCAGTGGCCACGTGTTTTATTTTAGAGATATATCTTTTTTCTAGACATACTATATGGGATGCACAGGAATTACAGAGAGGATCTGGGCTGGCATTGTCCCAGAGCTGCTCCCCTTGTTCACAGACATATCACACTGACCTAAGGCCACTTGCTGTTGGCTTACCTGGTCATTGTAGCTCTCCCACCATTCCCCATACTCCCTTTTGGGGTGAAACACTCTATTTCCGACTTGTGCGGGGCCAGTCTCCTGCCTTTGTACCTAATAAATCACGACAACAACAGGAGCAAACAGAAAGAAGTGATTGTGTGCTCAGCTTTCTCTGACAGCTGCTGTGCAAAGGGCCATGCACATGAAGGCTATTGTGGCAGCGGTGGGGTACAGTGCAAAGCAGCTGTGGGAGCAGTGGAGTAGTGGCGTAAAACCGCAGGACTATGCTCAAGCAAACAGTGCTATGCAGGAGAGGTGCTCACCATTTATTTATATATATACATGTAGGATGAGCTAAAAAATTCTACAGAATAACACAGTAACCTTTAACGATTTTGGGAGTAAGACCAAAATGTGGAGGCCAAACAGTTAAAGCCAAACAACACTGTAATTTAAGGAGCAGTGAGAAACTAACTGGTGGCCATGTTCTCAATCCTAACTTCATCTCTTTCTCTGATACTCCACATCTGTAACACTTGATTTGCTCCTCAGCTTGACAAAGCAAGCACCAACATTGTTGGCCACCTGGATAAAATTTGGTTGGGTTCACTGTTCATGTATTGAAAGGGCCCTTTTCTTTCCATTCGCAATAAAAATGACTTGCGGGGATGTAGACATGAAGTCAAGTGGAAGCAATCCCAAAGCTAGAGCCCAGTGCAGTATTGTGAATGTCTTAAATACCATACCTGGAAATTGGATAAAAAATTACTTGGATAAACAGTTTATTACTTGAGGATTTAACTAATCCCCTGGCAGGATATTAGGATAAGACCTGGTCAGCTCTGAACACTTACATGGGATGTGAGCTTTGCAGAGATCTTATGCTGGCTTTCTTCCCAGTGATGACTTATGCCCTAATTGTGCAAATTCCTGTGCTGTGTGTTGAAATATCTACTCAAATGCTTGAATAAAATTTGTGCAAAATGCCTGCAGCAGATCATTTCTCAAATGCTTGCTTGTGATATTCCATTCCTATCTACTCTAAGCTGCATTACGGGTATCTAACAAAATTCTGAAGGAGAAATCTGTTAATTTTAACACTGCATGACAGACTAAAAGGATTGTTTATTGCTTGTCCTTTAACCTGAACTAGATAGAAAAATATACCTCGAAGACAACAACTCTGCAAAAGAGAAATAACTTGAGTGAACGCAAAGTAAGGTGGATGCAGTTATAGTAGATCCTCAGAGGTAGTGCAGATTGTATAAATAACTGAAGAAGCAGCTTAGTGAACCTGAGAGTGAATTGGAGACAGTAAAATGAGATGTGCTCAGTGCAGAGGAGTCTTTTCATTTACAAATTATAGCCTTACTGAAAGAAAGAACAACTGGAGCTTTGCAGACTGGCTATCAATCCACAGGGCAGTATGTGCAATGTTCCCAAACAGGCATGAAGCTCACGCAGAACAAATGTGTATTAAATGGAAGTTGATTCCTAGTGCAGAGGAAGAAGCAGAGGGGCTTATAAAGTAGATAAATTCTCTGAAAAATACAAAGGAAATCAAACTGGATCATACAAATTTATTTGGGATAGCAAGAGAGAAGGAGAAAAGAAAGAAGAATGTATGGAAATTTCACAGGAAAGAAAACTAGATAAAGTTGGTATGGAGGTGTTAGATATCAAAGAATGTAGAGTTTAGAGAGAAAACAGTTACTTTTAGAGCTGATAACCAGAAGAGGCAGTTTGTACCCAAGAAACAGAAGGAGAAAAAGACTAAGAGAAGGAATTTGAAGATCCTAAATGCTCACAATAAGTTGAATTCCAAAAAGTAGCCATCAGAAGAAAAGAAAGAGGTAAAGTTTCCTTGGCAACTTTGTTCTGAAGAACCTTTGGTTAGGATGCTTGTGACACAGGTAAAGAAAATGCCGCATTCCCTAGCTGTCACTATACATTCTATACATTTCATTGCCCTGCAAATCAGCAGAACGGATCTCAGAGAGATTGCTATGAACCTCTCAAGTTTTGCCATCCACTCAAGAGCAAAATAACCATCAGAAAAAGCACACTGCTCCTAGACTGCCCTAGTAGTAACTACTCCATGGCCATTCATTCAGTGCTAAATATCCACTTAATTATGACAAGAGTCACCAAGCTTTAATAAAACCTCCCACTGTGAAACATGCATCTGACCTGTGCAGGGTTCTTAGCGTAACCAGACTGGAAAGGCAAAGGGTTCAGCATAAAAAAGGGTTTTCAGGATTCAGAATATGTAAAGGTTATGATTTACTTCAGAATGTCTTGTATTTCAAAAAAGTCAAGGTACTTTTCCCTCTTTGCTGTGAAAACAGAGAATAGCTATAAATTACTTAATATGAGAAGAAAATATTAAAAACAAGCTAACAACAACAACAAAAACAACCAACCCTTAAACATTTATTTTCAGTTCTCATAAAAAAAATGTTAACACTAAAATAATTTTGCATTTCACCTGAACAATGGAGGAGACATAAACAGATTTATTTCCTTAGAATCAGTTCTGTGACTGTATACTGGTTGGAAAAAAGAGAGAAAACTATGCATCAGGACACAGTGTGACTAAAGTGCAAATGTAATGTAAGAGCCAGTGTAAGTAAATTCTGTTGAAGGCCTTGAAAAGTTCTCAGTCCATTTTTCAGGTTTTGTTTTTGTATTAATTTATTATTTCAGCATCTGTGGGTAAGGATCTGCAGGCTGTTTCATTCTTGGGCTGGGAGAAATCATGTCTGTACTGGGATTTCCCCATACTAGCAGAAAACACCAGCACAACTGCTTAGATTTCAGGGATTATTACATCTTTTCCTTGCTGCCTTCAGCTTCTATGAAAGGAATTTTCATAGACCAAAATTAATGTATTCTATCAAGGAATAAGGACAGAATCTCTCAATGACACCACTAATAATACATTACAATACTTTAGACATCAGTTTTACATGTCTTCATTTGTAAATCCTTGCTTTTCATTTCCCCTTCACTGAAGTTGTGGGCTTCTCTACAAACAAGTGCTGATACTCTTCAGATATGGAACTTTTTAGATTATGTCTTCACTGTAGAGCGTGGTGCTGGCATCCTGGTGGTTCTGAAGTGACATTAGGCTGAAACCCAGGTGTGATCATGTCACCTCCACACCCGCTCTCCTCTCGTATCCTTTGAAAGGGTCTTGGAAAGGATCCATTTTATAAGGTGGTACATAAGCTATCTAGAGGATGTTGGTGGACCAGACCTGAAAGAAGTGTCATACCTTAAATTTCTGCATAGTTTGGTCAAAGACTTAACCAAATCAATAAAAAAGTAGTCTAGTCTCCGTAGAATGTTAGTGGTAGTAAAATATCTACACTACACTGATTGAGAAAGATTACCCAAAAGACAAGTGTTTCCAATAGCAAAAAGTAGGTTTTCAGACAATATGTTCTCTGAAAATAAATCCCAGCAATTAGAAACTGGCTTTTACCCTTAGGCGTAAGATTTTTTTCCTCTCACTTTTTTTTTTTTTTTTTCTTTTTTTCCTTTTTCAGTAAAAACTAAGAAGTAAAACTAAGTAAAATATATCTTAGGATATCTTTGGTTTTCAAATGCAGTGCCAAGCAAGTTTAGTTTGTTGTGTAGGAGATGGAGATGTGTCATCAGTTTGGTACTTCAAAAGCAACCTCACACTGATATGCAGAAATTTAATTATTTATTCAGTACCAAATGTTACTTGGTACTCTTCAGATTTGAAAGGAGTAGCTTTGATGAACAAGCTTTTTTCTACTACAAGGGAGGAGTAATATCTTCACAAAACTGTGCCTTGGTGCCTTGCAGGAGCACTGAAAGTGACATTTCCATGTCCACTTAACAGGACAGAGGATATTGAGAAAAATCTGATTGTGGGACAAGGACTAATCCTGGAGACATAAATTCAGCATTGTACTGACTAATTCCTAAGAGCCTTCTGAGTTAATAAGATTCCAGTTTTTTGTTTGAGATGCTGAATGCAATATTAGATATCTGAGATTATTTCCAAATCACGCATTTCCCTGTAAGTTAGCAGTAATCAAAGCAGGAAACATCTATTAATTCAATCTCAAAGTTCTAATTTTCTCCATTTTGAAATGAAAATAAATTAATCTGTGAAAAGGGAATTTAATGAGAGGAGAGGAGAGGAGAAGAGAGGAGAGGAGAGGAGAGGAGAGGAGAGGAGAGGAGAGGAGAGGAGAGGAGAGGAGAGGAGAGGAGATTCAGAAAACTTTATAGTACATTGATGAAATACCATCTCTTTGCTCTCCATTGCTTTTACTCAATGTGCTTATCTTGGAACTTGTCTTTTCAATGTGCTTATGTTAGGAACTTGTACACTTGTAACACTCAGACTGCTGAGTGTTTCAAAGCTGACCACCTTTCCAGGCTGTTATGTCAGATTTTATGTGCAAGCAATATTTTTCACCAGCACAATTACTTGGTCTTGATATAAAGAAATGATGAATATCTTGCATTTCATAGGAGCAGAATTGGAGCTGACCTTTAGACTAAATAAAGCAATATCTGTATGAAGTTTCTACATAAATGGATAAAGAATGGACTATGAGGAATATTTAGCATTGTTACTGCAAAGAGTGTTTTGAACTGCAAATATATTGTGTTTTGAAAATCAGTTAGCTATACAAGGCTGTTCTTTCTATTTTGATATAGCATTCCATTGTCCTGAATACTTTTAAAGAGATCTCAGCTAGTTATGGATATTTTTCCATTTATATAATTGTTAAATTACATATCATTAAGTATGGAAATTTAATATTGTTTGTTTTTAAAAAGTCAGCATATAAATGTTGTTTGCTCAATAGCAAAATTCCATCAAACAAATCCACTTAAACCTAAATGCATAATTAATTTCTGCAGACTATTTTTTAAATTATTTTTCTTCTCTTTAAGATTTTTTTTTAACAATTTATTTTAATTAAACAATCATATGTAACTGCAACTGGAGGGTTAAAATTACATTTTTGATGTCATGATATACAACGCATTATACTGTATCAAGGAAAGAAGAGTAGACCCATAGCACAATATTACCAGTATGTTTATCTACCTTCTTCCAAAAGGGGCACGATGTCAGACAAAGACTGCTGTAAGATTTTTGTACGTTAGCATCTAATTTACATGAAATGTGGTTCTGCCTGGCTTATTCATTATTTTGAATTTCTGTTCTTTCTTTTGCAGGCTTATGCAACTACAGATGCCATGGGAAGGTCTCACTACTTTATTCATTACTTCATTCATTATACTGAATAGGGAAGTTACACTTCATTTGCTCTGAAGCGTTATAAATGTTAGAAACTTCTTTAGGTTTGTAAAATGGATGGATAGGGCTGTGTTTTGACTTGGATTTGATTTAAATGTGACATTTTTCAAATTTGTTGACTTATAAGAAAGAGGTTTCTCGAACTGTCCTTTTTCTGCTACCTCATTATTGAATTGTGGACTGTAAAATGATTTAATTTTTGGCAATGTATAATTGTGTTCTAAGTCCTAAACTGCCAGCACTTTGGATAATTACTGCATCATATAATGCTACGACCAAAACTACAGCAAAGTAAAAGTGTTGTTGGTTTTATATATTTTAGCAGACCCCTGGCTATATTATAATTCATACAGGCATTTACAGAGGAGTAGGCCAGCTCATGTCTTGTCTAGACCTTGTAAGGAGACTAGATATCTTAGTCTTCTTATCATAGAATCATAGAATGGCTTGGGTTGGAATGGACCTCAAAGATCATCAAGCTCCAACCCCTCCGCCACAGGCAAGGCTGCCAACCTGCACTTTTAATAATAGAATTTTCATAATAAATACAATGCCAGTTCATATCAAAGTATGCTCTGGAAAGAAGCAGAAGTTGGTTTGGTAGAAAAATCTCTGCTCTGACCAGATAGTTGTCTGCAACAGGATTTACATCCTGTTGTGTATAGACAGCAGAACACGTGTATATGCATACAAAATGGACATAAGAAAATTTGAATGGCTCGTCTGGACACTCTTTAGTGTGATGAGTAAGGGAAATACTGATACAGTACATGGTATCATTTATTTGTCACAACAATTTCAGGAGACAGGTTGGAAGATGAAAATCAAGGTAAGAAAGACACTACTGTTAAAAACTGTAAAATCTACCACCAAACTGCTGGCCCCATCATTATTGTTCCTTCCTTTCCTTTTTTTGCTTTTTGTTTTATTACACTAACAAGGTTGCATTTTTCCACCTAGAGCATATTTGGGCAAGAGTAGACAGGGAACTGTTTACAATGTAAATTTGTTTGAACAGTTCAGCTATAGGATTTGATTCAAAATGATGGAGACACTGTCTTACTTATACAAATAAATCAAAAAATTAAGCTTGAATACATGAGCTCAGTCAATGCAGCCAAACAATTTATATCAATCAATCATTATTTTAATTAAATTTGAGGGGAAAAATTCAAAACAACAACACTAACACTGCACACATATTAAAATTCATTGTGATCAGGGCAGTCAAGAATATAAATTCATTGTACAGAGGGAATATTTTAGCAACAATTCATCAAAATCTTTCATACCTAATAACTTTCACTAAGTTACATTAAATATTCTTCAGTCATTTCACAATATTTGAAGTTTAATTAATCACAGCATCAAGCTTGTCTGAAAAAACACCAGGAGCAGTTTATCTAGAGAAAAATGAAGGACTTAAACAATTCAGTAATCTCACAATCTACGTTTTGTACCATATTAGGTTAAGATGGCTCAGAACGTTTCCCTTGGGAACTGGTTAGTTAATAAATGCAGACTAATCAGTCAAAAGGATAATGACTTCCTCTGAAGAACCAGACTTTTTCCTGCATGCATCAAAATTCTTTTTTAGCAAGGCTATGAAGCAAACAACTTATATCTTGCATCACTTTGCTTATGTTTTTGAATAAGAAAAATTCTCTTCGAGCCAGACATTCGGCTCATCTCAATTGTTACCTTCTCTTGTGGCATTATATCATGTAAGAGATTTACTCCACTTTTTTTTCTGGTATTTTATAGTACAAAGTCATCCAAACACTTCTGTGCAATTTGTAGTTCATGGTTCCATTGAAACAACATGTGTAGGAGTTAATTTTTAACAATGGGGGGCTTGTTTTGGTACATGCTAATCTCTCAATGACTTCTTCTGCCTTATGGTAATCTTTACTTCCCTCTTTGTGTAGCACTTTTACTTTCCACCTTCTAATGGGATTTATGATGCTGAGACAAGCAATGGCTAAATGCTGGTCACTGCTAAAGTTCAGAGATGGTGCACGCCATATCTATAATGCAACTTCTTAAGCATGAGTTCTCCTAAATCACACTGTTTACTAATCCCCTGTTTAGATGCACCCCACTCCCTCAAGAGGTAATATAAATAATTAAGTTGTCAATAAATGATTTGCCTGTTCTATAAAAATTCAAAATTTCAAATAACATCATTGCCTCTCTCCACTTTCAAAAATGTTTGTTTGTTTGTTTGTTTCAGTAAGATGAAACGAGAACTGTATAAGATTTTTTACTGTAAAGTTAGTATAAAAATTTGATGGATGTTACACTTATAAGACAAAAGAGACCCAGGGTGGTCATTGTCTGACATAGATAATCACTGTTCTTTCCACCAGGCTGGAAAATAACTTTCTGTCTTTTCTGATCAGTTGCTTTATACAGGCCAGAATGACTCCACTGGGCTTCAAGAGGAAAGCAATCCATCCTGGCCTAACTGACAGACTGTTAATACAGCTTGTTATGAGCAGTGGTATACCTGTCATGAATTCAACATCATGAGGTTATCACCTCTGTTATCCTCTAAAGTTCCAGAGTTAACCAATGCAACCACTTGCAAGGCTTGCACTAAGTGCTATCCAGCAATTTGGCTGTGAATATTATTGAGCATGAACTCATAACCCCTGCCCTGCTGAAGCACAATAAGTTAAAATTTTCTCATATGAGTTTGGAGGAAAACCGTGGCATTCTTTCTATCATTATTCAAAATGTGTAGAAGAAATGGCTCGTGCTGCATATAGATGAAGACAGAATTGGCACTTGTACTGTAAGAAATGTGTCCGCATAGAATATGCAGTGGCAGGAACTCACAATCAGTATCTTTCTCAATGACAGCATACTTAAATGTCAGCCAGCTCCAGCTTTCAGCAAACTCCCCCCATCTTTCTTCTACATCGCTGTCACAGGCTGGTAGGCCTCCTGGTACAACCCTGCCTTCTTTACAGCACTATTTGCTCCATGTCAAATAACCACTTTGTTCCATTTCTCAGAATGGTTATTTTCTTGAGGCATAATCTTGCATATTTATTCCAGAATTCCTTTGCATGTATGCATACACATATTGTAAAAGCATTTCATTTCAACTTGATGTCTACAACTTCAGTCTATCCATTTATGGGTTGATGGTTGGACTAGATGATCTTAGTGGTCTTTTCCAACCGTAATGATTTTATGATTCTATGACTTATGGATATGTCCCTCAACCAGTCAGCAATTGATTCCTGGGCCATGGAAACTGAATGGACTGTATCTTTGAACTCCTTGGTTCCAAAGGACACCAATATAGGGCAGATATAGAGTGTATATAGATGGCGTATATATAGACAGAAGTTTATTCGTAGACATTTGGCTGGAAACTCACTGCCTTCTCACTGTTTTCCTCATTATTAAATGTAAGAGTTGGATCTTTCAGATGTTTCTGTAATAGCTAATTCACTTCTCAAGTTAGTTCAAGCCTGAAATTTTTGGTTCTTAATTTTTACTTCTATTTGAGAAATTTCAGTTCAGGCTTCAGAAAAAAAAGCCACTTCGAGATTTTGATGCTGAGATAAAATATATTGTTGTATGACATAGTATTTTAACTGCAATATTTTTTAACTATAAATGGTAGTTTCTAGATTAATTCAAGGATATTTGTCTTATTTTTGGATCAAAATATATCCTGTTGAATTGTAACAAAACAGATATAGCAAACATAAGAGGTAAAAAAAAAAAAAAAAAAAAAAAAAAAGAGAGAAGAGGTAAGGAGGAAAAAAACAGTCACTCCTTGGAGAAAACAGAGTGCACAGCATGATTGTAAACACGTTTCCAGAATGCTTCATTATGGCACAGTTTGGGACATTCTGATGTAAATACCAATTATAACAACTTGTGGTCAGAGGCTGAACCCAGTCCAGCGGAAAACTCTGCCTTGCTCATCACTTTTTCCCCATGGGAAAACTCATAGGTACAACTGTCAGCTGGCAATTAAAAAAAATCCAACAGCTCCTTAATTTCTTTCTTTGGCCCCTCAGTCTCACTGCAAACATAAATAAATGGGGACGCATACAAACTACAGCTCTGATTCAGGTTGTATATCAGCAAAAGGCTCTTCATCAGAGGGCGGTGGGCATGAAACAGACTCATCAGGGTAGTGGGCACAGCCCCAAGCTGCTGGCGTATCTGGACAATGCTCCCAGACATATGGTCTTGCGTGGAGCCAGGAGTTGGACTTGATGATCTTTATGGGTCCCTTCTAACTCAGAATATTTTATGATTCTATGATAATTTTCAAGCAGAGCCATACCTCAGGTTCAAAGTGGTGTTTTCTCTTCCTTCAGAAGTTCTCACCTCACTGTTTAAACAGATCTGCTCCCTGCATTCAGGTCAAGGCTTGATCAAGGGAAGAATATCAGTTTTCTATTGGCTTTCACTTGTGTTACAGGAGAGAGCAGTTTAGAATTTGATGCTCAAGTGACAGAGAAGCCCCTTAAGGTGGGTTGGAGACCCACAGGAAGAAGCAGTCAAGGGCAGGAAACACTGCCATTCATACCCAGCAGTGGGAGACCAGGAGCATGGACTACATGTACTATGAAGACTTCAGAGCAAGCTAAAGAGTAGGGCAAAGAACACGGGTTAGATTTGAAAGACTACTACACAAGCATGGCAGAGACAGAATGGGGGTTTTAATTAACAGTAAAAGGCAAACTTGCCTTTTTGCAGGTTGAGAGAGATGCATGTGCTTAAAGGGAAGTTATAATGAAAATTAAAATGAAGTGTCCCTGGCTTGAATCATTTAAAGACATGTTCCAAAAGAGATAAACACATACAGTGTGGTTAAATTATTGTGTGTCATTTAGGAGTAAGGAAATGTAAAAGAAACACTGGAATATCTTCTCTATCCCAGACCAAAACAGCAAAACAGACCTTTTAGTGTGCAGCTGTGGCTAGAAATAGCACAGTAGCTACTCTTATATCAGAAATGCACCATCTTAATCTTACAGAGTAGTTGGAGAACAAGTAGACAAACAAACAAAAAAAATATTTCAGACTTCTCCAAAAGAGTTCTGCTTCATATGTGATAACAATCCCTGTGACCTTAAGATAAAATGAAGTTTTGGTCAAATTGTTTATGGCCTTCCTAGTCCCTGTGAAATTACAAGGTAAAACAGCTAGAAGCAGAATGTCCAGATGCGTTTCTGCAGAGGTCATGCGACTTTCATAGAATCATACAATTATAGAATGGGTTTCGCTGGAATGGAACTCAAAGTTCACCCAGTTCCAATCCCATGCCATGGGCTAATTGCCATCCAGCAGCTCAGGCTGCCCAGGGCTCCATCCAACTTGGCCTTGAGCACCTCCAGGGATGGGCTATTTAAAACCTATCTGGACTACCTGTTCCAGTACCTCACCACCCTCTCGGTGAAAAACATCCCTCTGCCATCTCTAAATTTTAAAACTCTACCCCCTTGTCCAATCATTACCTACACTTTCACTGCAGCTAAGTGGTGTTCAGCATGCTTCTTTGTGGTGCTGCTTTTATTGATGTCCAATTTGAAACAATGCCTTACTTTGAAACAATGGTAGAATATACTTTGTAGGCTGATTCAGAATAGCCTACATGAAATGTTTTTTATTTCATTGGGTGATGAATAGCTTTACTCTGCCCAGTAATATATTTTGGTGGGAATACATTCCAATGCTTAGCCACAGCTTGTCTGAACTTTTATTTATTTATTTATTTATTTATTTTATTGAAGAGCACCCCATGCAAAAAGTCATTTAGGACTGTAACAGATGTATTGCTTTATTTAGGCAAAAACAGTGTTGTTATCTGTCATCTTGCAGCTGATGTGAAAGCTCTGAATGGAGCCTTGGTATTATCTGTTTGACAATGATTTGATGCAATACTACACTGTTATAAATTAGTGTCAAGAACAAAAATGCTAATGATAGGGGCTCCTCTCTACACTATTGATTTAAATAACATCTTTCTTTAAAACTCAACAGTGACTCACTCTCTCTTAAACAAAACCCCACTGTGCTATTTAAATAATACCATGTAGCTCTACCGCGTATTTCCTTTGATTCAGAGTACTTCAGTGTTTACTTGAAAAACCTATCAAAACAAGATTGTGAACATCGTACTGAATAATACTGTGAAACATATTACTTTGTGCCAATTTTTTTTAATATTCTATTTTTTAATATTCTACTTTCTCATGCTCTACAGTGAGCAGAAGTGAGGATGAAAGTGGTTTTCTGTTTTTTTCTTTTTTTCTTGGAGATGATATCAGATACAGGTGAATTCCTGAGCAGCATTTTAAGTTTATTCAGTACATTCTAGGACTCTGTTTCATTTTCTTTCATGCAACTAAAGAGACATTGATTAGAGAATTTCTCATAATTGATGGAATCAGTTTGATGTTGGATTCCCAAATCCTTCAGGCACATACTGGCTAAGCACTGTTAAGTTCATTGGCACCATCACAGTTTAACTAGCTTAGGCATTTTGCTGCAGTTTTTAGTGTTGATGAGTAATGCTGGCAGCATGAAAGCTTTTCTCCAAGTGTCAGATAAAACACTCTAGTTTTTTATATCCAGGTAAATATGCCAATATATCAGCTTTGTGCTGCTTTCTTCATTCTTACACGAACGCATCTGATGCTCTCAATGCTACTTTCAGTGCTACTGAAAAAGAAGTCACTATCAATAATCTATTATGTTTTACTAATATATATCTACTGCAGGTATATTCTACACATAGAGACGTAAAGAAATGGAAACAGAGTCCTCAAAAAGAAGAAAATACATCTTGTCTTTAAGACACTCCATACTCGAATTAAAAAAAAAAATTTAGAGCAATTTTTTTTTTTAAACTGAGCCGTAACACACGACAAACAAATCCTTCCCAAGTCCAAGATCCTCCCATTATCTGTAATTTCTTCTTGCCAGGAAAAATGTTGTGAGATGGCAAGTGAGTTCTGAAACCAAAATGAGGATAGATAAGAATGATCTCAAAGAGGAAGAATGTTATACTGTTGAGGACACTATGAAGAATGCCTCTTTTACCAGCCCAGAAGTGGTTACAGGGCTCTTAGCTTCAACATCTCAGGTCACACAAACATACAGAGTTTGTAGAGAGGTACATTTCAGGTAACCATCACATAAGCTGATACAGGATTTATTATTTTGAAACATCATCTTATTCTTCATGTGAAAATGAACTGAAAGATAATGCTGTTTACAGATATAAGATATCTTGTAAAAACCCATCAATTTATGTATCAATTAAAAATCACTGAAAGAGAATCATGAGAAATAAACTGGCAGAAACAAATAATCATTGTGACATAACCTGTCCTCTGTAATAATACTAAAATTCTTCCTTGAATCAAAACTTTGGATCATAGAGAAATTGAACTATAAATTCCCCTCGTTCCATGCAAACTTTAGTGTGAACAATGACATGTCAAGAAATATTCATATTATCAATCATAAAATACATGTGTTTCAGCGAGGAGGGAAATACAGCTACCTGTCACTTCTGGGCGAGGCATGTAGAGCTGAGGAATGATAAGATTTCTTTTCTGCACTTTTTCTGCATTCATACAGGCAGAATTCTGTGATTATGCTAATAATTAAATAACCCCAAATCACCCTTATCACCCCCATAGCAAAAGTGTAAGAGATCAAAAGACGTAAATGAACCACTGGCTTGGATGCACTCCTGCACAGTCTGTCTATGAGTCTGGACTGTATTTCCACTTTAGAGTTTTCCTTTCCCCTCGGTGTTCACCGACTGTAATTTTTATATAATGAACATACAAGCTGTCATCACGATCACTGAATTCCGGTATTTTTGTGGGAAGAAACAAAGAAATAGCTCACAAGGAGGTATCTGGTTGATGGCAGGAAGAGTAAGTAGCAAACATGGAGTCTGTGAGCAACTGACTTTGATGGAGTTAGGAAGATGAATATAGAAAAAGATACCAAGATAGGTAAAGGAGAGAAGATAGGTAAAGACAAGGAGAAAGAAGGCAGGGAGAGATAGCAGAAGAAAGGAAAATCAGGTCATAGAAAAGGCATAACAGAAGAATCACAAGACAAATCCTCAGATGCCTGAATGGCCACTTGTGATGCCACATGTGTTGGCTACTCCACCTTGATTTTGTAGCATTAGCAGCCACTCAGTTGTCTTCCTGCTGTGACTAGAGAAAAAATACAATGACTGTGCAATTCATTCAAGTGAAAGAGCTTGCAAATGAGTGCATTAAGAACAAGGCAATTAGTAATATTTCTTGTTCTTTTTTTCTCCCTACTAAGATCTTACTTCCCTTCCTGCAAGAAGTGGACAGTTGACACAGCCAATGCTTCCATCTCTGTGATTGTTTGTCCATTGCTCCGTGTCCTGCTTTTGCACAACATTTTGACTAAATCAGACCTGTTGCTGTTGTAGATGTGGGAAAGAGGACTTTTCCTCTCCCAGTGGAGAGGCAAAGGGAATTAATATATCTCCCTCTGCCCTTTCATTATTAGCATTATCACTTAACCCTCGGAAAAACATAATAACTTCCCCACACTCACACATTAGCAGACTTTACCTAAGTGTTTCACCAGATGATCCCCTTCTTTTCCACAGGTTCACCAGGCTGCTTGAACGGCTTGCAGCCGAAGATGACTTCCCATCCCCTACGTGCATGCGGACCACAGTCGATGTGGTGAATGCGCTGCGTACATTCCTTTCAGGCTTAGCAAGGATGATGTAGACCTTGGGCACAAACATACAACCAAGGGCCACCGTGGCACTCAGACTCACTGAGAAACACATGGTGATTATCTTGTAGTTGCTTCCAAAATATATTGGCACAAAAGCCAGCCAAATGATGCAGGTGGTATACATTGTAAAGGCAATATACTTTGCTTCATTGAAATTAGCTGGGACATTTCTTGTCTTAAATGCATAAAAGGTGCAACTCAAAATTAATAATCCATTGTATCCAAGGGGGGTTACAACACCCAAGTTGGTGGTGTTACAAATCAAGTAGACCTCTCGGATGCTTGGGTAATCATGCATTATATCAGGTGGCTCCATTATAAAGAGGGCAACAATTATGCCTAATTGTATACATATCAAGATAAATGCAATAACAAGTTGGGCACAGGCACTCATGAATCTAGGTTTCTTTGTACAAATTTTCTTCTTGCTGCCAGCCAGGATTCTTGCAATGCGGTTGGTCTTAGTTACTAAAGCGGAATAGCTCATAGCTGGGGAGAGACCAATGCCAATTCGTTGAAGATAACAGTAAATCTGTTGAGGTTTTGCGATGAGACAGAAAGTGCACAAGTAACCCAAGCAGATGCCAGCTAGAATGATGTAGCAAAGTTCTCGGCTGGAAGATTTGACCACTGGAGTATCACGATACATTATGAATATAGCCGTAACAAACAAGGTTGCCAGCAGACCCAGGCACGCAAAAACAACTGCTGCAATTGGTTCAGGATCACCCCATCTGAGATACTGGACTGGTATGAGGTCACAACCTACAGGGAACAACAACAAAAAGAGTAAATTGAAGTATGTAGGAATTAGATTCTTTAATGATAATGTTATAAATTGCCCTGACTTTTCTCTTCCCTTTCATGAAGTTGCTGCTACCATCAATGTAAGCTAGTATTACGTTGATATAATGGCATACTAAATATTTTTCAGTGACAGCTTATTTCAATAACACACTTTATCTGTTTGGAGTCTAACAATCTAACACTATGACTAAAAAATGTTCAAATATATTAAGAAGTCACCTCGCATCACAGTGGAATTTACCCTTAATTATTATTATTATTTTTTAATTTAGTAAGTTAAGGACAAATTTCATAATCAAGTTGCATTGCCTTGATGTGAAATGCTCAAAAGTTGTCTGCATAGCATATGTCCTTTAAGGAGCAGGCATCAATGATATATTAACACACACTAATTATGAAGTATATTAGTACTTGTTTAATGACAATGCAGATACTCTAGCCATCAAGAAAAAGAGTACTTCTTTCTCATACAGAATCATTCTTTTCCAGCAAGACTTTTCTGGGATTAATGATGTAGATGATATGTACTTTGGGATGTCCCACAGTACTCATTTCCTTATCTGTCATTCATGCTTTTAAGATGCTTGAGGAATTAATCCCTCATCTCGTTCACAAAATCAAACTGATAACAATAAATTAGAGTCAAAGTTGAATTAAAAATGTGCAGCCCCTTCTAGTGATATTTGTTTTTTCAGTTTCTGCATAGATTTAATAAGTCATTCTTTGTACCTGTCTGTCAGTGGTTTATGGGCTGGTTCCACCCAGCTCCATGACTAGTGGGTCAAAGGGACCCAGGGACCCACACCCAGAGAAGGGAAAAAGGGAAAAAGGAAAAAAAAAGGAAATAGAGATGGGCCTGAAAACAAAAAAAGTGACAATGATTTGAGGATAAACAAACTAATTTACTAAATATGATACTGAAATGCAAGATAATTCAATATAATACAAAATAATACAAAATAATACAATATAATTAGAGTTGAAGCTAATAAATCAAATAAATGAGAGTGTCTGAAAGCCAAAGGTTTTTCATTCCACTTGCTTGATTAACTAGTTAGCTTGACTAACCTTTATTACAAATTAAAAATGACCTCAAAATTTAGGACTGTTGGAATCAATTTGCTTTTTGGCTGGGCCTGCCTCAGGGTAGAGGGTGGCAAAAGAATTTTACCCCTTGTAGATGGAGTGCTGGGCATTCACATCTGTCTTTTCACTAATGAGGGCAATTTGGACAAGGCACTGTTTGATGAGGACCTGGATGCTGAGCAATTCAAATTAGTAAAGGAGCCTGGGATCTCAATATCTTGATGATCAGTGGGAAAAGTAAGCATCTGTTTTTTTGTGGAATTTCTACATGTAAGATGTTTAGTCTTTTCCTTTATTTTCAGTGGAGCTTAAAGTATTTTGAAATCTCTTGTTGACATTCTTAACGATAAAAAACCTTTCCATGCTAATAATTTTGGTTAATATTAGATTTAGATCCCTTCTCCTCCCAGTATTTCTATATTATGTATTTTTAAACACTACTGTAAAAAATATATAAATATCTACAATGTGATATTATAATAAATATGTTGTCTGGCAAAAGTATGAGGCAGATAGTTCTGTATTCCTGCAGAAAAATCAGCAGAATTAGGGTAACAAAATGTTTTACATATCTGCAGTTAAAAGATGCATCACTTTGGTGTAACAGAGTTTTGCCCTTGATAATTAAACAAAGATTAATTGGCCATTTGTATTTTAACAGCTTTGGTGTGATAAGCTTTCTGTTGCAATAATAAAATTATTGCCATGTCTTAATGTAACAAAGACATTTAGATCTTCACAAAATACTCTTGTGAGCATTCATTAACTCCTTTTGGTTTTAAAGGGTTTTCTTATTCAGACTGAGGGAGACAAGGTATTTCATTCTGACTTCATCAAGATTAATGTAGCATGCAAATGACATCATTAAAATCATTCTATACCACTAAGAGTGGTGGAAGAAGGGTGAATAGCAGAAAGCACTCTCTGGGGTAAGTAGGTATCTCTCCTTGAATGGGTTCTTCCCAAAGAAGTTTTTTGGGTTTGTTTAGCTTGGAAAAGATATGGGGAACTTAGAAGCAGGAGACGTTACCGACTTTTTACGCAGTCTGGTAGCAATAGTACAAGGGGGAATGGCTTTAAACTAAAAGAGGGGAGATTAACATGAGATGTTAGGAATAAATTTTTTACTCAGGGTATGGTGAGGCCCTGACACAAGCTGCCCAGAGAAGCTGTGGATGCTCCATCCTTGAGGTGCTCAAGGCCAGGTTGGATGGGATCTTGGGCAGCCTGAGATGGTGGGGGGCAACCCTGTGCATGGCAGGGGGGTTTGAACTGGGTGGTCTTTAAGGTCCCCTCCAACCTACGCCATTCTATGATTCTATGATTTCATCAAATGTAATGAATATTTTGGAGAATCCATTTGTTATCAGCCTCTATTACTTCTGCATCTTGGACTGGAATTTTCTAATGTTCTTACCTGACAGCTAGCCTTTATCTGCAGACAATGATATAGAGGCTGACCTGTGCACAGTTTCTAACATTACAACAGAGGCCAGACATCTCTCACTGGTTTAAAACTATTTCATGCCTTTCTTGCTTTATTACCCTTTTACATTCTCTTAATAAAATACCTTAGAAAAGAGTTGAAACTTGTGCCATTTTTATTCTCTGTAACTGAGTGTACTTTGCAAGGGGAATGCTAAGCTGTGCAATTATTTATTCTTCAATTAAGATTTAAGGACTGGATATTCTTCATAAAGCAAATGATTGGTGAGGCTTTCATTTAACAGTTTTGCAGATAATGGTTTCTGACAATGACATTTTGCAGAAAGAGATGATCAAATCAAGTAAAAGAAATATGGGAAAATGGCACAGTCACTGTACAGTCAGTTTGATGGCTATTATTTTACCAAGGCAAATGCTGAAAATGCTAATAAAAGAACTATCTTCCATCCCATAAATAACTGTGTGCTCAATGGTGATTTGGACAAGATCCCATCCCATAGCCCACCTCTTACACTTCATCAACATCTTTAAGCACCTGGAAAGTCTTCTCTCCTCACTGGCTCAGAAACTCCAACTGAAACAGAGCCAGCAGGCCCAATCCTGTCTTCCCTGCCGTGGGCTGAGGCAATCTTTGGCTGGTGGAAAGGCTGTTAGGAGCAAGTCCAATTTGGAGCAGGTATAGAGTTGTACTCTGTGCTCAAAAGCGCACTGCTTCTGGGACCAAAGCACCAGTAAAATTGCTATAAAACAATCTCTATGTTTCTCTGGCCAGAGACATAAACTGTGGGAGCTAAGGACTAGATATGTGTGTAAATAGCAAGACAAATAGATATAAAATATCAGAGTCCTGTTCAACATGCCAGGGAAGAGATTTCTGTGAGGAGCATTAAAAAAATATCACCAACAAATTACAGATGAGGGTATCTGAGGATTTCCTGGGACAGAAAATAGATCTGATATTCTGTAATATCCACCTCTCTAAGGATGGGCTAAATGGTGCTATAAATGAGATGAGAGCTCTTGAAGGTTTGATGCTTGCCATGGGTCTATGAGTAGCCTCTGCTCTCTCTCCTGAGCTAAACTTGCCACTTCTGATCTTTCATATTGCTTTAAAATTAGTTTGTCTTGATAAGAGTTCACAGATACGAAGCACTCTGTTACCATTCCTATTTTCAGGGGGTTTAATCATGACACTGTCTTAATTTGTTATTACAGCCTTGATGCCTAAGAGAGCTTACTATACCTTCATCATCCATAAAGCTGAAAATCTATTTCATGACAGGCAATATGAAACACATAATTAAACTAGTTCCAAAGGTAAACATGACAGATTAAGGCTTGTAAATAGGATGCAGTCTGAAAAGTGAAGGGAATTCAGGGAAATCCCGTAAGTCAACATCATGAACAAAAGTTCATTATCAGTCCATATGAAGAGTAAAACTGACAGAAAGTTACTGCTGTTTTTGTAAATTCTAAATATTTTTGTGGAGGTAGACACCCCTTAACAAAAGTTGTACTTTTCTTTTTATCTTTTTTTTTTTTTTTTTTAATCCCTGTCATAGATAACAGGAGTTCAAGTGCCATACCTAAACAACAATCTACTGACTTAGAATCATAGACTTGTATGAGTTGTAAGAGACCTTTAAAGGTCATCTAGTCCAACTCTCCTGAAAAGAACAGGGACATCTACAGCTAGATAAGGTTTCTCAGAACCCCGTCCTCCTGACCTTGAGTGTCTCCAGGGACATGGCATCTACCACCTCTCTGGGCAACTTGTTGCAGTTCACAACTACTTAGTTGTGAAAGAGAATCTCAACATGGGACTTACCATACATGATTTAATGTCTATTGCTGCCATGTTGTTAGATATTTTATATCAATATTCCTGAGTTTTCCCTGTGCCATAATTTTAAAAGATGGTAGAAGGGAAATCTTGATTAGAGATCCAGGTTTTCACATATGGAGAGGTGAGAGACAGGAATGTAGGATTCAGAACCAAAATCCTAGTGAATCTGGCAGGAAAATCTTCATAATAATGATTTTTAACAGGGATAAAGCCCCAACCTGTTGCCTAAACTGACAAGGTATATGTGAGAAATACACTCTTCAAAGTCCTGGGTGAAAATCAGCCCTGCTGATGTCCATGTGGAATATGTGCTATTAAAATGAGAGAACACATCTTTAACATGTCAGTACTAAGGTCTGGTACCTTTCAATGTGGTAATTTGAACTATTAATATCAACAGTTCTTTCTCTTGTTCCAGGGGAATCTTTCATAGTCATAGCAATAGGAGGGCAATGTGGAAGCAACCATCTGTTTAATTATCATCTGCAGCAACTTCCAGGCTGGCATGTTTACTGAAACCATTCACGAGGGTGGATTTGCACAGTCAGTGGGTGCAGCTGAGAACATGCCACAGGTTTCT